TGTTTTGAAAGAATTTTCATTTATGTGAAAAGATTAAGAGGAATCTTAGAACAACACTAGTCGTCTGGCTTCCCAAATCTAGAGTGGAAACTCCAGACATCTCGTACCTGGAGTTTCATATACCTCTGAGACTCCAGAGGAAAGAGCAGGACAGTGCAGAAAGATGTGTTAAAACCTCAATGAAAAACTAGAGAGTTAAAAGCAAACATACCCTCCCGACCTATAAGAAAATTTCAGTCTGCAGGAGGATATCTTGTAGCCCAAGACATTTGTACCCTTTGACCGAGAGGGGATTGTTTCCTGAGTAAGGATTAGGTCAGGAAGATGCCAAGCTGCTATCACTTACCCCTTACCTATACAAATGGGAAGGATTGAACAGGCTGGGCAGGAAAATCTTAAAACTGTCTGAGTATAGAGATGCCACCCTTCTTCCTGTGAATAAAGGAAGTAGAAATTGGAGAGGGAGTCTATCTTCTACTGAGCTCCCAATGTGTGCCAGGCACTACAGTAGGCATTTTATATCTATTATTTCATTTAATCTGCATATCAGTCCAATGAAATAGGGATTAGTCATTTCCATTCACAGATAGGGAAACTGAGGTTTGGACAAATTCACTTGTCCCAAATCATGTAACTAGGAATTGGAAGAGCTGAGATTTAACCTTCACTCTCAAAATTGCAGTTTCCATTACAACATACTTCCTACCCCAACTCCTACTTGCTTCTGTGTTACATAACCATTTGCATACCATTTTAATACAACTTGCCTTGTCTACAGACTAAACGAATTTTGCTTTTGCATTATCTGAGAATAATTTTTTTAAAAAATCCACAAAGGAGTAGAGACTACCAGGAATAACTAATAAAAATGCCTTTTGCATATTTTGCAAAGAGGCACCAGAGCTTTCCAGGGACAATTTAGTGCGGAGGCCAGAGGAGACCACACACATTCTGAACATGTGTCATAGCTGCAAAGAAACCCTAGCCCAGCCAGCAATGAGAAAGATGCTTAAGAAAATCCAGTAATCAGATTTCTGGTTACCCACTGGATGTGAAGGTGGCTGAATGGTTTCTTTAAACATATCCTATCCTAAAACTGTGGTGTCAGTTTGTGGTGATTGCTGTGGATTTCCAAAGCAGATGTAGAAAATTAAAGTATGTTTTTATTTCTCCTGAAATGTATTAGTTTTGTGGCAGATTATCTTATTTGAAATCAATGATTCAAATCAATGGTTTGAATCTATTCATTTTCTTCTGCTATCGGCATACTTCGTAAAATCATTCATTCACATGTTGTATGCAATGTATATCTGAGAATGATGCAAACATAAGAACATATAAAAATATATAAAGAGAAATAGGCTTATTTTTTGATTTTTCAAAAAACAGTGCTGGCTTATTTGGGGAAAGAAAATAAATATATATTGAATACAACCGTATCCTGCCATTGTAATAAAAATGCCCGTGTCTGTTCCATTCACTTGATCTTAAGATTAAGACTGTATAGGAGCTTTATCCCCAGTTTATAGACAAGGAATTGAGGCTCAAAGAAGAGAATGAACCTACATAGTCAATTAATAAGATAGCATGTTGCAGATCAGGGTTGGATCTGGGCCTAAGTGTCCCGAAACCCAAGTCCCTTCCACTCCACAAGCCCATTACAATGGCTTATATTTTGGCCCTGTTGATGTGGGAGAAGCATTTCCAAAATGTTCTGGATCTCTAGTTCCAATATATGTCCTTCATGTTGATTATTAAGTACTGCCTGTGTTTCAGGTGGCTTTGGACCACAGGATTAGAACATGAGGCAGGGAACAACTGACTCTTTCTGAAATGCCTTCTCTTTGGGGCAGAGCATGTCTGAAACATGAAGGCTTATAAAAGGCAGGTAGTTTAGAGCATACTCCTAGTTGCCAGGGATTTTACACACACCATCTCTTTTAATCCTTTCCGCAGGTATTATTACCTCCATGTTTTTAAGGAAAAATATGTCAAATAAAAAACAAACCCAGACTTAGTAAGGAAAGACATCATGCAAAAGGATTACTGCTGGAGGGAGAAACAGAGAGAGGAGAGAAGAGACTGTTGCAGTGGGGAGACAGGTATTATTAACTCCATGTTTTTAAGGAAAAATATGTCAAATAAAAAAAAAACCCAGACTTAGTAAGGAAAGACATCATGCAAAAGGATTACTGCTGGAGGGAGAAACAGAGCAGGTATTATTACCTCCATGTTTTTAAGGAAAAATATGTCAAATAAAAAACAAACCCAGACTTAGTAAGGAAAGACATCATGCAAAAGGATTACTGCTGGAGGGAGAAACAGAGAGAGGAGAGAAGAGACTGTTGCAGTGGGGAGAGGACTGTTGCAATAGGGGGAGGTGCTCACAATAAAGTCTGAATGTTTCTCAAGAGTTACGCTGGACAGGTTTTTTTTTTTATAGAGAGGAGTAAATGAAGCTAGAAAGAACCTGGTGTGGGGAAGTGGGAAGAAAGGTTGGCGTGATTGGATCCAAAAATGCTTTATCCTGAGGCCAGCCTATCCTTCAGAGGAGCTGCTTGCTGTCTCAGGATGAGGGGAGCAAAGCTCAGGGGCGTTGCAGCAGGACTGATGCTCAACCAAAGTTTGGTCAACAAGAATTTGGTTCCAATTGATTGCTGGGGATAAAACAGTTCAGCTAATCACTTATGAGGCGAAGAATGGGAATTTGAAGAGTCCGGTGTCTGGCCTTGTCCTGCAAAACAAGGCGGCATCCATGAGTCTTATCTAAGTCATTTGGGGAGGTGGTTCTTTGCAATAAGCCATTTTCCAGAAAACAAAAGAGTAAGAGGATTTCCTAACATTCACTGTTTTCCAGGATCACAGGGCTCAGGTAAATTTCAAATGGTCAAATCAAAAAGCTCAGGCAGAGAGGCAAAATAATTTGCCCCAGGTCACCACCCAGAACACTACTCTCTTTGAACAAAGGCATACATCTGCTCACACATCCTTAACTCTTTCCTCCCCCAGACACTAGTTAGCTGCTGGATATATTTAATCACTTTACTCTTTTAAAAATGATATGAGACTCCTTTTAGCCAAGTCCACAGGTTCCAGCACGAGCAAATAAACCTCTCCCTTGTCTTTGCAGTTGTGAAACAAACTTCCACACAGCACTCGAAAAATCAGTTCCCCACTCTGCATTGGGAACATGAACTAGGCCTGGCCTTCACCAAGAACCGGATGAACTACACTAATAAATTCCTGGTGATCCCAGAAGCAGGAGACTACTTCGTTTACTCCCAGGTCACATTTCGAGGGACCACGTCCGAGTGTGGTGACATCAGCCACAGGAGGCAACAGAACAAGCCAGACTCCATCATCGTGGTTATCACCAAGGTAACAGACAGCTACCCTGAGCCAACCCAGCTCCTAACGGGGACCAAGTCAATGTGTGAAACGGGTAGCACCTGGTTCCAGCCCATCTACCTAGGGGCCATGTTCTCCTTGAAAGAAGGGGACAAGCTGACAGTGAACGTCAGTGACATCTCTTTGGTGGATTACACAAAAGAAGATAAAACCTTCTTCGGAGCCTTCTTGCTATAGGGGCAAAGCAGACAACATTCCATGAAGGTCCCCCGCTTCCTAGTTCCTAATTTTCTCCATTCATATTAATTATAACCAGGGGTTTTGGGGGGGCCAGGGGACGGGGGCATTCCACAGAGACATTGTTTTAGCTACAAAATTTAGGGTCCAAAAGTTCATACTTCATATGCCTTACTGATGATATTAATTGGAAAAAGGCTGAAGAGAGCAAACATATTAATTATCATGGTTTCTTGGAAGAGTGGTGAGTTGCTAAATGTTAAAATACTGATCACCAAACAAATGGTCAGGATTTAAAGAAAAATATTTTCCACACCTTCTTCCCACACACTTGTCACCAGTGGCCCAGTTACTGTTCAATTTGATCATACTAGTGGCTTCAGTTCAGGAGCTTTGAGCAGAGTCCAAAGAAAGTCCAAGAAAACCACGTAAGCCCCTCAGAGGCAAAATCTTTTATCAGTTTTCCCACATACTTTCATGACTTACCTAAAAAAATGAAGAGAGCTGGTATTTCTCATAAATACTCTCAAAAAAGGAATTGGTTTTCCTGCCATATATACCATATGAGAAAAGCTACATTTCCAGGTATCAAAACAAGCAAGTATGAGGTCCATGTGCATATAAAAAAAAATACAATAGCATCTATTCAGCATAGTTTTCTTGGACACTTATTATGTTCTGGGTATGACCCAGAAAACAGGATGAAGAACAAGACAGACCCTACTCAAGACTTATTCAAATACCACTAGATGCTGCCTCATCAAACATCAGTCAGATTTCTGCAGAGAATAACTCCAAGCCCTTAAAAAAAAAAAATCATCTGGAACTATAAGATTTCTGGCACTCTTCTGACTGTGAAAGATACCCGGCCAATTAGATCACTCAAGAAACACGAAGACATCTTTCTAGCTAATTAGCCCAACTACACAACAAACTTGCTCGATGCCAGGAGACAATAGACTTTCATCTGGAACTATAAGATTTCTGGCACTCTTCTGACTGTGAAAGATACCCAGCCAATTAGATCACTCAAGAAACACGAAGACAGCTTTCTAGCTAATTAGCCCAACTACACAACAAACTTGCTCGATGCCAGGAGACAATAGACTTATTCTCTGTGAAGGGAAAAGATGTCAATCACCAAATCTGGAGAAGTTAACCTAGATCTGCTTTGAGGTTTGATTTGCAGCTTTATATGCAGAGTGTTATGCGGGTATTTTCCCCTTAAAATATTCAAAGGGATTTAAAGATGGGATTAGCTAATCAGCCCAGCCAGAGCCTCTCCCCTGGAGGAGAGACTGGATGTTGAGAAGGTCCCTTCTGTGTTCTCTCGTCTGTATGATTTTCCTGCACTAATATGTCAAGGAGGGGCGTTTCTGCTCTCTTAGCTTTGTTAATGTGTCCGTAAAGCAGAAATCAGTCCATTTGTTTCCCAGGACCAAGTAAGCTCATGGGAATGAAAGCTGTTAACGTTATGCATTCTGTGTAGTCGGAGAGCATTTCGGTGGGACGTGAGCAGTGACCTCCAGCGCCTTGGCCTCTATTATAAATGTTCCCTNCAAGGGGATTTAAAGATGGGATTAGCTAATCAGCCCAGCCAGAGCCTCTCCCCTGGAGGAGAGACTGGATGTTGAGAAGGTCCCTTCTGTGTTCTCTCGTCTGTATGATTTTCCTGCACTAATATGTCAAGGAGGGGCGTTTCTGCTCTCTTAGCTTTGTTAATGTGTCCGTAAAGCAGAAATCAGTCCATTTGTTTCCCAGGACCAAGTAAGCTCATGGGAATGAAAGCTGTTAACGTTATGCATTCTGTGTAGTCGGAGAGCATTTCGGTGGGACGTGAGCAGTGACCTCCAGCGCCTTGGCCTCTATTATAAATGTTCCCTATTGTGAGAGACCTCAAAAATGGGTCTGAGGGTAAACCTGGCACCAAAAATCACTCTTACTCAGGTTTCCAGGAGACTATAGAGGCAGAGAGGCGTGTGAAGAGGCTCTGGAGCACAGTGACCAGTGTAGTAGTATTCGATCAATATTTGTTGAGTTATAATCTAATAAAAGTTGATCTCCAGTTTCTGTTGGGAGGTAAAGGCTTTAAGCATGCCTCTGCTGGGCTAACGTACACCAGCCCCTTCCTCCCCTTCAGCTTCTCAAAACTCAGCACAGGGGCCAGTGGGTACAGAGAAGGGTGTGGTCACCTCCACCTGGTTCACTGAGTCTTCATAGAAGAAGTGAAACCTAAGAGGAGGTAGGCGGAGCCCAGATGACCACAGGGAAAGGGCATCTCAGCTGGGGAATTACCCTGTACTTAAAGCAGAAAAGAAAGGTTTCTCAGTAACTCCAAAAGTAGCTTGATTAGAGAATGTTCCATCAACCAACTCCTAGAACAATATTTATTGGTAGATCCAGAATGTTTCCTCAATGAAGCTAGTCTGACTCCGTGATCAGAACCATTAAGAAAATAAAATGCTCTGTCTGCCCCTGTCTCTACGGTGCCTGAGAGCACCAAGCAACTTGGGGTGCAGGAAAGGATTTATATGGAGGAGGAACCCTTGTGCTAAGGGCCTTCAGATCTGCCCACTGTTCCATAGGGGATCTGGTAGATTTGAAAGTTTAACCAAGACAGGAATTTCCTAATATCCTAAGACAATTAAGGCCTTGGAAAAATCCCCGCCGTATATTTATTTTGCTCATGTCATAGGCTTGTTTATTGAAGAACAGATTGTTGCTCAAGTCTTCACTGCTGATTTAGCTACATTCTCTACAAGGTATCCTTTGCTATTCAGAAAGGCACAGTCAAACATTCCTAATAGGACTCAAGTCAGAATTTCTGTTTCCAACGCTTTATCTCCATAGCAAAACTTAGTGCACTATTTTTAAAAGAGATGTGGGAGAATGCTTTCTAAGGACATTTGATGGTTGCCTAAAAGGGGATGCACTCAAAGGTTTGGGAGGGAAGAAGAAGCTAGCTTTAGAAAATAGTTAATTTAGGGGGGAAATGCTTTGCTGGTTAAATATTTCTCAAAAGGCTGAATTCAAATCAATTCCACAAACATTTACTGAGTACCTACTCGCCCTGGGGACACAGAGATAAATTATTTTAGTCTCAGACGTGCTCCTTCTAACTACTCAGCCCCTCCATTGTCTGCAGATCCCTTAATTTATTTTGGTTGCATTAGCTAATTAATTAGCTCACTTTAGGTACATGGATATTTTCTCATTACAAAAATGGGTGTCATTCGATGAAGTATGATCATTAACAAAATAATTTGTGTTTACTCTAGGAGGTTTTTTAAATAACTACTACATGGATATTTTCTCATTACAAAAATGGGTGTCATTCAATGAAGTATGATCATTAACAAAATAATTTGTGTTTACTCTAGGAGGTTTTTTAAATAACTACTCAAGAGCAGTTTTTCACAAATAAAAGGGGGAAAAACACAAAGATACTGTTTTCTCTGACGGAATCCATTATGTAAGCCACATGTAGGGAGAGGTTATTATTTACTGGACTCAAGTTTAGCCATCAACACTCTAGAAAATTTTAGTACTTTATGTATAACCCAAAGATGCTTTGAAAAGTCTGTGTTCCTCAGCAAATATGGGAATCAAAATGCATGGGGTAACTAGCATTTTGACCTTAGCCTGGTTTAGATCTATTTGGGAGAACGGAATTGCTTAAGCTACTAAAATTTCTTTTTTCACTAAAGTATAGTAGAAAAAGGGAAATGTGTACCTTTTCACATCCTGAAATGTGTCAGATTCAGTTCAATAACAGGGTATGCCAGAGCCCTTGGCTCCATTTCCACCTAAGCTATGTCACCCCAGAGGAAATTCCACTTCTGTGCTCATCAATAACCCCTACGGATTATAAAAATTCAACTAAGTCACTGTGCACAAGGCATAGCTGTTGCCAACATTCTATTCCAAGGTATTTTCCCAAGTCCTTACCCAATCATGTTTCCATGATTGTGACATTAGGGATTAATTCTTCAGGACAGGACTGTTGATATTCTGCATCTTGCAAAACATGTGCAGAAGGCTCTTCTCTCAAGATTTCTTAAGGCCCACAATCCTAGAAGTGTTCTGCCCTTTTTAACAGAATTTTTAAGTGGACATCATTATCCTGGATATTAACATTATTGCATCATATTGGCAGCTGGACCTTGGGAGAATCCAGTGGACTATATCCTGAATCCTCTTGTACCAAGGGGTGAGAAAGTGTGGGTCAGAGCAGTCGCATCCATGCCGTGCCTCACTCTAACAACCATATTTACAATTTTCCAAGCTTTGGGACACATTCACCCTGCACTTCTACCTTCATCCCATTTTAAGAAGAAAGTACCATTCCAGCATGGACAGGAGAAGTTATTGTCCAGGGCCACACAATAAGTCAAGGGCAGATCTAGAGCTACAATGCTTTCTTCATTAATCATAATCCCTGACTCATCCAATTCCCCTCTACTCTTAGCAAATAGTATGAATTTTAATGACTGGAGGAGAAATTGAAGGAAGACAGGAGAAGTATCTTCAAATACCTATGGGGTGACATAGAAGGGGAGGGGACTTCTCCCATGTCTCACCAGAGGAGAGAAGTGGACTTAAGGAGCTACAGTTACAGGACCACCATTTCAGGCTTGATATCCAAAGGAACTTTCTACCCCAAAATTTAATTTTTCCAGATAGTGACTTCTCAGTGCCTGGAGATATTCAAGCAAAGGGCTTATCACAAAGGTTTTGTAGAAGCCATTCCTTCATTGAGGTTGGGGCAAGGGTTGAGCCAAAGGATTTCTGAGGTCATTTCCAAATCTATGACTATGTGGCCATATTTTGATTGGCTTCCATGTGCTCTATTTGAGCATTGTGAAATTGACAGGCCTTGTCAAGTGTTCAGTGGTTTTAGTCTAGAAGTGGTTGTCACTTCCCACTTGTTCAGAGAGTGTCCAAACACAAAGTGATTCTGAGTTCTTGACCAATAGAGAAAGGCCATGAAATTTTAGAGC